AATACTACGTTTTGTGAGTTATCTTGTCGTTCTCAAAAAAGCTGAAACGGCTGCAGAAAAAGCTATTTTGTTGCAGAAAAAATTAACATGTAAAGCGTGGTATAATACTACGTTTTGTGAGTTGTCTTGTCGTTCTGAAAAAGCTGAAAACCATGTGAAAAAGCTGTTTTATTTTAGAAAAATTAAATATGTAATGCGTGGTATAATACTACGTTTTGTGTGTATGTAAAGCGTGGTATAATACTACATTTTATGTGAAATCTTGCCTATAAATAACGGGCACATTCTAGTTATTTTCTGCGCTTAACAACAACCTATAGCAAATATTTCCATAAAATCAAAGTTTCTCTTTAAGAAATGTCTCAACAACCCCTTTATGTCCCAAGGTGCGACTGCAGAAACAAAAGCATGATGTACGATTTGTTGGGAAGAAGCTGGACGCCGCTACTGGGCGTGTATGAACAAGTTTTATAGGCAACCCGACGTACCTACATGCAATTTTGAGGTATGGATTGATGAACCATGTGAGCAGGAAAACTACAAAGACAAGTTATATCATCTTCATAATGCGTGTACGAGGCAGTGGGACAGAGAGCGCCAATCCAAACAAGAAATTGCGGAGTTGAAGGCGAAACTCAAGGAGGTGGAAGAAGAGAAAAAAAAACTGGAAGATCAGCTCAAGTGGTTGGAGCAGAGAATACTAGGTGGTCGTGACTAAACAATGGCATGTACGTGTTGAGTATAGTAATATATCTTTATGTTTCCCTTGTCAAGTGTTTTCATTAGTTGTACTGTTTGTGTTGTGTTAGATTTGCTATGTTTGTGTTTGTGTTGTACTGTTAAAATAAAATTATTGTTCAACCGCAGTTAAAATAAAATTGTTGTTAAAATAGAATTGTTGTCATTATTTATATAATGTAGTATTTACACAAAGTACAAACAAAAGTAAATCAATGAGTCCTGCAGCCTGTGTGTTTTAGTGCTGCTGCTGGCCTAAGTCGCATCCCCTGCTGCTCGGGTACACTATCAGAATCATCATCATCAAGTTGCCTCTTTATGTGAGGATGCGCAGCAGCATCGACATTGCAGCTGGCAGGATCGGTAGAAGAGGCCGTCGGGCCGTCAACAACCTATAAAACAAGTACTAAGCTTAGCATGTGAAAATGCATATTAGTATTGTACGTGTTAAGTGAAAAACATTTTCTCACCATGGTCTCGTCGACCTCCTGAGTATATGCATCCGTAGTGTCCTCATCAGTGCATATAGTGGCCTCCGTGATGAGCTGGGACGAAGACTTAATAAGAAAATTAAAAATTAATTCATGGCAAATCATTAAGGAAAAGAAAACAAATTGAAATTTTACAGTAATACAAATATAACTGCGCCTGTGGTAGATTCACATCAACTACCGGGGATGAGGCATAACTCAACCTGCGCCCGCCATCCACGTCTCGGGTCGGCCGATCCTCAGCTGCGGTAGATGGGCCTGAAAAGAACTGGTCTACATCTCCGTCGAATGTACCTATGATCAACAATGTATCTGACGGGGTGACCTGCGATGCTGGCAGAGATAGTTGAAGGATGTACGACGACATGCTGCTGGAAGGCTCATATAACTAAGGGAAATAACCCGGCTGATCATCTTCAAGATCCTCATCATGTGCCTCAACAAGTGGGTCGACAAGTGCCTCAATGCCCCCTTGCTGGGGACCACCTCCTCGCCGTCCCCCGCGACCCCGTGGGGCACCCCTGCCTCGTGCCCTACCCCTGCCTCGTGGGACAGCCCTACCCCGATGGTACTCCTCTGGTGCCGCATGCTCAGCCTTATGATCCAACTTCGCGCCATCTCTCGCTTGATATAGGGTCCAACGAGCCAGATCTTCTACCCGCCGGCCATACTTAATGACTGCAGCATTGTCGCCATGCTCCTGCATCTCCTGTCCCAACTGGTAAAACATGTGATGCCCAATAGACTGCGCAACATTTAAACTATTAATTAAATAACGCTATATCACAATTATAAGATATTAATAAGCCACAAAACCATACCAGTGCCTCGAGCCTCCCGGCGTATGGTTTGTACCGATCGCCAAGTACATGAATGGGGTTCCCGATCATCAGTCGGGTGTGACGGCAATACCATGAAGTATACAGCTCAATAGTGGCCTCCTGGATATGTGAAGGTGGTGGCGGAATATGGTACTCTCGCTGGTCCCAAATATGGACCTGCTGCTCTAGCCATCCTACAAATTCATCGTACGGTCATCCCACTAATAATGTGTAGGCACCCATGCAGGCTCCCCGGTATAGTCTGGGGACGGTGAAACTGTCGAAGTACACGCTCTGTGGCATGATGCTCCACTACATCGAAGAAGATCATCGGGACGGAAGTGCTCCAAAGCAGTCGGTCGACTGAGCAATAATCGGGCAGCTGAGCTAGCAACTCGTCGCTGTATGGCGTCCAGATAAACTATCAAATAATAATATAAAAGTGAGTATGCGCAACACAAATGAATTTATAACAAGTAAGTTTAGGTACATATTTACCTGTCCGGCCACCAGCATATCTAACACATCCCTGACAAGGGAGAGATTATGATGAGCATCAGTCCCTCAGTAGTTCCCACACCGGAGAACCCACCTCGTAGCTAGAGGGAGAAACAGAGGTGCTACACCCGGCTCTAGTGGTGGTAGAGGTGGCTGCAACGGCAAGATCCGCTGCCAAGACCAAACCTAAGATAAAAGGTTGATGTAAATTTTAAGAGTCATTTTGACTATATAGAATTCGAAGTAATGAACAGAGTATTCGAAAATGTTGTCACCTGTAGAAGCGGCAAAAAACCACATATGTCCACCTGGGTGCCCATGCTCGCCCGACACATATTCCTGTACAGGTATGCTAGAAAAGCAACACCACAACTGTAGCGGGGTAACTCATCTAGCTGTTGCAGATGATGGAGAAAGCGCATACTCAATAGATTTCCCGAAGTGTTCGGGAACAAGACACCCCTAAAAAGAAGGAACAACGCCAATCTCGTGTACCGGTCAATATGGATATCCTCTGTCTCGCCGGTAATATCGGGATGCAATACCTCAATATGCTCTCTGATAGCTGCCACAGAAATGCGACTGCCCCCTCTAAGTGCAGCCTCACCCTATGGTCTGAAACTAGTATACTGCCCCAGCAAATCCAAATACTGGGAACGCGTCATAGCTCTCATATACTAGGGCAGTGCAACGGCCAGTCCATCTACACGCATCCCATACAAAACCTGAACATCCTGAAGCGTGATGGTGGCATCTCCAGTGGGTAGGTGAAAAGTGTGCGTCTCCGGTCGCCACCGCTCTATCAACGTCGTGATGAGAGACCAGTCGAGCTGCATCCGCCCAATCTCAAAAATCCTAAGGAAGCCCGTAGCACGCAGGCGATGGACTACGCGGGCATGGAAAACTCTTTCCCTCAAAAAGTCTCACAAGTCGTCCGGTCTCCTGGCGCTAGAGTCCGATCCAATAGATGTCCCTCCCATACATAGGAGGACCTATGCTCGCCCTGTAACACTAATACCTGATCCGCCGCTGGTCTAGGATGCACAGGCGACAAGTCCATGTCGTCTACTATAATTTAAACAATATTAATTATGTGTTTATGTTATAATAAATTAAATAATTAATTTTATAATTGGACAGAGTAATTATCTATGGGTTCCAGGCTCGATATTTGAGGCCTAGTAGCACCAAGCTATCCTTAATTATTATATGTGTCAATTTCAATATTTTTAGAATTTTGTTAGTTTTATAAATAAAATAATTAACTTTAAAATTGGACAGAGCAATTATATATGGGTTCCAGGCTCGATATTTGAGGCCTAGTAGCACCAAGATATCCTTAATTATTATGTGTGTCAATTTCAACATTTTTAGAATTTTGTTAGTTTTATAAATAAAATAATTAATTTTATAATTGGACAGACTAATTATCTATGGGTTCCGGGCTCGATATTTGAGACCCAGTAGCACCAAGCTATCCTTAATTATTATGTGTATCAATTTCAATATTTTTAGAATTTTGTTAGTTTTATAAATAAAATAATTAATTATTTAATTGAACAGTGTAATTATCTATGGGTTCCAGGCTCGATATTTGAGTTAATTTGACAACATATATTAATTTGTTAGTTTTGTAAGTTTATTTTATAAATTAAATAATTAATTTTGTAAAGTGTAATTGGATAATTAATTTTACTACGCTAAAAGGCTCTATATTTTGCTACGCTAAAAAGTTCTATATTTTACTATGCTAAAAGGCCACTATTCTTTAAGCAAATAAATAATCTAAACTAAATAAAAACAACAAACATATGAACATAACATTCACAAAATTACATATAAAACAGTAAAAGATATTTGTGAACAATTTTATTAACAATAAAAATTATTTATCAAGTTTTAACTATTTTTTGTCCCAAGGATAATAATTCAATCCGGGTAAAAATAACATACAAATTTAATCGCAAACATAACACAAATCAACGTGGAAACACATTCAATAAAACAAATATGCATATGCTCTACGAGTTTCGACATAAACTAAATTGAAATACCTCGATTTAAGTTTTTTGAAATATTGAAAATTTGAAATTTTGACCCCGAAAGAAGGAATCCAAAGTTTGGATTGTATGCGGGACCTACGCTCTTCACTTTTTGTGTGACGGGTGGGGCCAAGATTTTTTTTTAATTGGGGGGGATCAGCAGTGGTGTGGTTGTTTTTTTTCTTAAAAAAATTAATAAAGATAATACTGCGTTTTAACTTTAACGGCTAACTTTCCGTTAAAGTAAAATGCAGTATTATAGTGCACTATATAATACTGCATTTTATGTAGATATGTAATTTTTTTTAGCTATATAAACGTATTTTGTGTCAAAAAGTACGTCATTTCAGTTTCGGACTCGATGTTCCTCATCTTTAGCACTCCAAATTAAAAGGGCAAAAACCCTCATCCGGGACGGGTTACGGACCATATATAGAAATAAAAATTAAAATTTTTGAAAGAAAGAAAAACCTCAAGTCTTCCTTAAACCCTACAAACCTCAACAAGAACACTGTCATTCTCCGCCATGGCAACCACGGCGGACGACAGCCAAAATGCTGGCGGCGTTAAGGCTCTCCGGCGGCTCAAATCCACTGACGCACCTTTCTACCTCTCAGCATCACCGGACCTTTCCGAAGCAGCTCGATTAGCCTCCAAGTATCTATACTCTTCTCTCAAACCCTACACCCCGAAGTCACCTTTCGCTCAACTCTTGACGGATGGTTTTGATGCTGAGCAAATATGGCAGCAAATTGACCTCCAATCCGAGCCCTTAATTTCCTCTCTCCGTCGCCAAATCAGACAATTTGAGAAGAAACCTGAAGAAATTTCAAAGCTTTTCAATTTAGTTGAAGAAAAGAAGAGGGAAAAAGAGGAATTGGCAGTAGAAGAAGGAGAAAGTGAGGACTTTAAGGATGTAGCTATGGAAGATTTTGGTGACGAGGATGATGTTGTTGATGATGATGATGATGAAGAAGAAGAGGATGATGATGATGAGGAGGGTGATGATGGTGAGAAGAGCGAAGATGGGGAGGAGAAGAATGGAGGGGTAAAAGGGGGACTGGAAGATAAGTTTTTCAAGGTAAACCAGTTGGAAGAGTATATGGAGGCTGATGAGGCAAGGGAGTATGGCTTGAAGAAGAAGACTAAGAGGACAAGGAGCAAGGACGAAGAGGAGGATGATGAAGAAGGCGAAGAGGACGAGGATGAGGTGAGAATTTGCTGATCTCTGAAAATAGAGGGTGATTATGTTTAACCGTTTGGTGGTTCAGATATTGTGCTTAAATTATCATGATTGAAAGCAGATTGGTGAGTGGAGTATGCTTCTTCGATGAAGCATTCATTTTTAACATTATATTGTTTTTGCAGCTTGGATTTATGGGCCTCGACGATGATGAAGATGATGAAAATGGAGGAACCGAGAGTGCTAGGTGTGCCTTCTTTGTGTTCTTATTTATCTTTTTAGTGTCGTATGATAAATAAAGCATGAAGTTTAGCTGCTAAAGCTCGAGAAGAATTTGCAGAGTTGGCTCTTTGTAGTTTGGCCTTAGCTCAATGATTTCAAGGAGATAGCAAATCAATACGTCGTACTCAATTAAAGTAGAAGACACTTAAGCTCTTCTGGTTAATTTTCAAAACTTGAGGTGCTTATTGTCCATTAGGTAGTATATTTGATGTTGATTAGGCAGAGTAGATTTGAGTATGAAGGGTGATTGAGTGATATTTTTTTTTTTTGAGAAGGGATTGAGTGATATTTTTCATATTGCCTTAAACTGAGACGCACTGGATAAGACTATGTGATTAAGCTCCCTTATAAAGCTTAACTGAAAGTCTTTATGTAGTCCTTCAATATTTGCCTTGTGGATGTAGGGTGCTCTTTTTGCCTCCCCGGGCGACTGTAATCTATATGCTTGTCATTGTGACAGTTAACCAGTCTTTTATTGGTTTTGGATGATGATGCTCTCCGGTTTGATAAAGTAGTAGAGGAGCCTGTGCTATCTTTCTCCCTCTATATTTTACTGCCCTTACTAAACAGCCGTCATTGATGGTACAACCATTTAACTAAGTCTCAAAATTTTATTTAAGTATCTCCAAGTCCTAATTCTCCAATATGGGCTCAAACCTTGCAGAATCACATTCCATAATTGCTGCTCTTAGCTTAATATAAGACACACATGCACGTGTCCTGTGACAGTTCTCTTTGACTATTTTTCAGTTTTCACCCCTCTATTTGGAATGTTAATCACATTATATATGTCAGTGAGGTTTTAAACTTTGTTACCTCAACATTGACACACTTCCAATTTGCTCATTTTTTTCTCATGATGCACAGATATGAAGACTTCTTTGGTTCAAAAAAGGGTACTGGACGGAAGAAAAATGTCAAATCATCTGATCTATCAGATCGCCTGGGAATGGATGATGACATGAGTGATGATAATGATGACAATCAGGTACTGTACTCTTTGTCCTTTCAGTTGTAAATTTTATGAAGATGCCTGAGTAAGTGATCTATAAGCTTCAAGTCATTTCAATATCTAGTATGTTTCTTCCATCTAACATATATTTTTCTTCTGTTATTGAAGAAGCAAAGCCTTTCTACCCATGAGAAGGAGCTTGTAAAACTTCGATCTACAATTGAGGAAATGGAGAAAGCAAACTTGGAAGAGAAGGCCTGGACTATGCAAGGAGAAGTAAGATCTCTCTTTGACAATTCCTTACCTTTAAAAAAAATTCTTGGAAGAAAATCCCATTCGCTAATACACAAGCCAAACCCAAGTTGAAAATGAATCTCGATTGTCCCCATACTCATGTTAATTTCACAATATATTTTCTCTCACTGTAGACACTACATTACCATCTTCATAAATCTTTTCCTTTCTGATTGTTCCCTCTTCCTTTTTAGTTCCCTTAATCACTATTTCATTAACATGTATTAGCTATATGTACCGCATATGGCATCTTCAGTCCTGTATGTTTGAACAATATCTATTGGCAGGTAACTGCTGCAAGAAGGCCAAAGAATAGTGCATTGGAAGTTGATCTGGATTTCGAGCACAATGTGAGACCTGCCCCTGTAATTACTGAAGAGGTTACTGCATCACTTGAAGAACTAATTCAGAAACGTATTGTAGAGGTGAATATTTTTCTTTTATCTCTACACTGCTAAATATCTAAGTTGCTTTTTTTCTTTGGACCGCGGAGGTGAAATTATTGTTGGCAATATCTTTTCATTAAAGAATAAAAGAGAGCATCAATAAAAAGATATTGTTAGCAATAAATTTATCTCAGTAAAAGAAAAGTAGAAGTCAAACGAGTATAGATGTTCCATTTTCTTTCACATCTTGACATTTATTTCATGAATCCATTTCTAGTTTTTTTTGACTCTAAGGAGGTTTTGTTTAATTTTTTTTTTCCTTCTCCAATTTTCTCCTAGAAAAAGAAAATTTTGCATAATTTGATTGCAGAAAAAGCTTCATCTAGTATGTACCAGAGGAAAATTGTGTAATTTAGTGGTAACCCGGTCAAAGGACATGGGCAAGCTTGAAACATTTGACATGGGAGGATATGTGAATTCTAGTACCGGACACTGGGTGGGAATCCAAAAAAATAAAAAATAAAAAAAATTCTAGTAATATAGCTGAGGTTCCTATATTGAATTTTTTCCCTCAAAAAATAGTTTTTGGCTGCACTAAGTTTTGTGGTTTTCATATTCAAATTTTGAAAGTGTAGCAATGTTCTTTTCAATAATTGTTATCAGCATATCTGCTAAAGTTGAGGACAAACTAGCAAATTAGCCGTTTTGTTATTTCCGACAATTTCCCACTCTTTTCTCACCTTATAGACGCCCCTCCCTCCAAATTCACTCACATCTGTGAACTGGCTCTGATTGGGATGTGGCAGAGAATAAAAAGAACATTTAAAATTGGAAAAGGAAGAAAGAAAGAAAGAAAGAAAGAGAGAAGAAAATAAAAGGACATGGAGAAAAAAAAAATTAAGTTGGAATTAATTTCCCCTGAATCTGAACATAGATGTTAAGCAAACTAAATGTAAGGGCTAAGAAGTTTAGAAATTTTACTCTGAATCTGAAGTTCTGAACATCGATGTTAAGCAAATTAAACAAAAGGGTGCATTTGCTACATTTTACTAGGTTTGAGTGCTGAGAATGCAAGCAGCAAATTTATCTGGTCTTGTGGGAAACTGACCTGTTAAATAAAAGTTTAGGAGAACAGGTTGCACCTTTTTATTTTGTTTTCTTTTTGTTTGTAAAAGTTAAATTATAGGAACTCCTGCCAGACGTAATAGTCATATCGAAGTGCTTTGTTCTTCTGCTATTGCTTTATGCCTGCCTTTTCTTTCCCTACCCAACGTTTGAGTGTGCATGAAATAAAGTAAACAACAACTGACCCCAGCTTGTGATGTCTAGGGCCGGTTTGATGACGTTCAGAAGCCTCCTAGCTTGCCATCCAGAGCACCGAGAGAAACAAAAGAATTGGTAATTACTGTTTATATATTTGTACACGTGTCCAATCAAGTGGATTCTATACTAAATTCAAGTGGATAGCTGTAACTAATGATGCTATGATTTGATGTTTTTTATTTATTTATGAACATGCAGGATGACAATAAAAGCAAAAAGGGCCTTGCCGAAATTTATGAGGTTAGTGCTCTCGGATTCATGCTACTCAAGAAGATTGATACTTATTGGTAGTAACTGCTGCTGTGGATATGTGTACTCTTTATGTTTTATTTGTGAACTTCCCAAAGGAAAATCTCCGTTATCTTACATGCCACTTTGTTTCATATATTACATACTTTTGCAGGAGGAATATGTCCAGAAAACTGGCCTTGTATCAACAGCTTTATCCTTCTCAGATGAGCAGAAGAAAGAGGTGTGTTTGATCGTTCACCTATAATCCAGCTCTCTTCTTTATAACAGGAAGGGAGGTTCTTCTTCTTCTTTACATTGTCATTATTCCCTTTTATTAACCTCATCTTACATGGGGGTGGGGTGGGTGTTGGGGCTAGGGTGGGTGGTGCAGGAAAAAAAAACAGAAAATTAAAAATACTAAAAAAAAGTGAATTTTTTTAGGGGGTTTGCGGAGAGTGGGGTCAGAAAAACACAAAACAGAAAATTGAAAATACAAAAAAAAATGTAAAAGTTTTAAAGGGGGTT